ACATGTGTCTGTCTAAAGTGTCTATGACATATGTCCATCAAATGTTTCTCTATGACATGTATCCGTCCAATGCATCTATGACATGTGTCTGTCCAATGTGTCTATGAAACGTGTTTGTCCACCGTATCTATGACATGTGTTTGTTCCATGTGTCAATGAAGTGTGTTTGTCCTATGTGTCTATGAAATTTGTCTGTCCAATGTATCTATCAAATGTGTCTGTTCTGTGGGTCTTCATGCCACTTGTTTTTTGGGTCTGATACGTTCATACCAAATTATATTACGTGTGCTGAAGAAAGTATGTGTAACATAAGCTGTCTGGTCCCGTATGTATAACGTCGTGATGCACTAAGAGAAAGAAACACTCCTACAATTAAAATGATTTACGGTTTTCCTATTCATATTAGGTCTTCCAAGTACGTGTCTCGTCTATTTACATCACTTCTTTTAAGTTTTGTGTAGTGTGTGTGTCTATAATGGGAGGCTAACATTAATGTCGTCAACTTGGCGTTTCCGAGTATAACATTTTTTTATGCAATGCATGGCTAAAACAGTGACCAGTGAATTTTTATATCATGCACTTTGTTCTTCCCAACGACGCAGTTAATCACATACTTAGGGTCACTAAAGGTCAGTAAATCGGCGCTGGCATTTGAAAAAACCCAAGTGTTATCGGGATTTCCAAGGCGGGGATTGTAAGGCGACATTGTTGGGTTGAAAAGTGGGACTAAGAAGGATCCACTTAGTCCCATTGTGGGAGAAATGTCTATTTATATTGTGAAGAGGAAATTCAAGATTTTACAATAAAAAGAATTAGACAGGAACTGCACAAGGGAGTATCATTGTCTTTTTCTATCTTACAGTCGGTGGTGGTGTAGGAGACATGCAGTCGTATCTAGGAGGCATGCAGTCGTATGTAGGATGCAAGCAGTCGTATGTAGGATGCAAGAAGTCGTATGTAGGAGGCTTGCAGTCGTATCTAGGAGGCATGCAGTCGTATGTAGGATGCAAGCAGTCGTATGTAGGATGCAAGCAGTCGTATGTAGGAGGCATGCAGTCGTATCTAGGAGGCATGCAGTCGTATCTAGGAGGCATGCAGTCGTATGTAGGATGCAAGCAGTCGTATGTAGGATGCACGCAGTCGTATGTAGGATGCAAGCAGTCGTATGTAGGATGCAAGCAGTCGTATGTAGGTGGCATGCAATCGTATGTAGGATGCATGCAGTCGTATGTAGGATGCAATCAGTCGTATGTAGGATGAAAGCAGTCGTATGTAGGAGGCGTGCAGTCGTATGTAGGAGGCATGCAGTCGTATGTAGGAGGCGTGCAGTCGTATGTAGGAGGCATGAAGTCGTATGTAGGAGGCATGAAGTCGTATGTAGGAGGCATGAAGTCGTATGTAGGAGGCATGAAGTCGTATGTAGGAGGCATGAAGTCGTATGTAGGAGGCATGAAGTCGTATGTAGGAGGCATGCAGTCGTATGTAGGAGGCATGAAGTCGTATGTAGGAGGCATGCAGTCGTATGTAGGAGGCATGAAGTCGTATGTAGGAGGCATGCAGTCGTATGTAGGAGGCATGCAGTCGTATGTAGGAGGCATGAAGTCGTATGTAGAAGGCATGAAGTCGTATGTAGGAGGCATGCAGTCGTATGTAGGAGGCATGAAGTCGTATGTTGAGGGTTTGAAGTCATATGAAGGAGGCGTGAAGTCGTATGTAAGAGACGTTCTTTCGTATGTAGGAGAAAAGCAGTTCTGGTTCTGGTTCTGGCAGTGTTCGTTGCTGCATCCTTATACTGGAATCTGTGCAACGGTTGGGGGAAACGATGTTGCTATTCTAACAGCTCCTAGCTGATGCCAGGGCAGCCTTGAAGCTTTCGACCGATGTCGAGTCCTCAGCGGCATTGTCCAGGTGGTTCCAAGCAATTATTGTGCGTGGGAAGAATGCATGTTTCTACTGCACTGTGTTACACCGAGTCACAGTGAAACATTTGCTATTGTTTCGGGTGTAATTCTTTATGGGGTTGTCAGTGGTGAAATCAGTGTTCAGTGAGAGTTTTGCTCTGATCAATTGTCCCGGCTTCTGTGGGTTGATGTAGGTGTCTGCTGGGATGGCCGGCACCAGCCCCAAGACCACTTTATATAAGAATATCAGGCGGAGTCCCTCTCGTCTGTCTTTAAGGGAGGGGATGTCAAATCTTTTTAAGAGGCCAGTGACGAAGCCAGGAGTGGTAGTTTCGTAGTTGTGGGGTTTCACTGGAATGGCAACGCAAGATGAAAGACGCACTGACCAGATCTTCTGATAGAATAAGAAACTGACCTCACCAATGAACTGAACGGTTATGTCTTATCAACAAACAGGGAGTTTTTCGACCTGCTTAATCTGCCCGATGCCACCAGTGTTGTTGTTTTGTTTTGTGGCTTTGGGGAAGGGGGGGGGAGAATTAGTTACTGCGGTTGGCCATTGGCACAAAACATCGGTCACTTCCCCTGAAAACTTAAGAACTGTACATATTTTATGGTATAGGGTCATACCGAAGTTTCATACAGTAAGCGTGAACCCCGGGATTATCCAGTGGTGATATTCAAATAAATCAACAATCAGTTTTTCTGCCCTAATGACTGCCTTAGGTATTAAAACCAATAATACTGAAATGTATTTTTTTTTGTTTCACACGATTAATATTTCAATAAGGACAGTTAAAAGAGGTACACGAAACTAAATTATGTTATTAAAAAAAATAGTTTTAAATGTTGATGAACAAATATCAAAGAATACCTGACGTTTAAACGACCACTTTATTTTAGAATGTTTACTTTGAGCGATCGGGATTCGAGTAAGTGTTGTTTAGATGGACGTTACAAGAGAGTAAGGAAACGCAAATTTGCGATTTCAACATTGGGTGGATACCCAGGCAGCAACTTCAGAAAGAACTCTGATTGAAGTGATTGAAGTGATTGAAGTGATTGAAGTGATTGAAGTGATTGAAGAGATTGAAGAGATTGAAGTGATTGAAGAGATTGAAGTGATTGAAGTGATTAAAGTGATTGAAGTGATTGAAGAGATTGAAGTGATTGAAGTGATTGAAGAGATTGAAGAGATTGAAGTGATTGAAGTGATTGAAGTGATTGAAGTGATTGAATTGATTGAAGTGATTGAATTGATTGAAGTGATTGAAGTGATTGAAGTTATTGCAATGGAAATATTTTCACATCCGTTACGCCAAACATAACCAAAAAACAAAAGGATGACTTATCGCTTCTGTCGAAATTGTGCGGACAAGCTGAATCCCAACACTGGATGTATCCGTTGGATGCGGACAAGCTGAATCCCAACACTGGATGTATCCGTTGGATGCGGACAAGCTGAATCCCAACACTGGATGTATCCGTTGGATGCGGACAAGCTGAATCCCAACACTGGATGTTTCCGTTGGATGCGGACAAGCTGAATCCCAACACTGGATGTATCCGTTGGATGCGGACAAGCTGAATCCCAACACTGGATGTATCCGTTGGATGCGAACAAGCTGAATCCCAACACTGGATGTATCCGTTGGATGCGAACAAGCTGAATCCCAACACTGGATGTATCCGTTGGACAACTCCAAGAAATACTTCATACTGATAAAGCCTTTCATAGTAGAGGATATTCAGCTCATCTGACCGGATGCAACCAGAAAGTCAATTGATGGATAAAAAAAAAAAATGAATGTTGTAGTGTTAAATCAAGTTTATGTGTAAGATATACTGCAATACCCAAAGTAATCCATTACGAAAAGTAAAGTGGAGCACAACGATAAACAAATAATAGATCCAGTTGAATGGGTTGTGCACATGACAGTGTCCGTGGAACAGATGAGCCTTTTCAGAAAACATAAAACTCTTAATTTTGGAAACCAATACAAATAAATCGTAACGTTTAAGTCAACCCGTTGCAACCCCCCCCCATCAACCCCTTGCGACCCACCATACCAACCCCTTGAAATCCACTACATCAGCCCCTGGCAAGCCACCACATCAACCCCTTGCGACCCACCACATCAACCCCTTGCGACCCACCACATCAACCCCTTGAAACCAACCACATCAAATCCTCGCAACCAACATCAATCCCTTGCAACCCACCACATCAAGCCCTTGAAACCCACCACATGGACCCCTGGCAAGCCACCACATCAACCCCATGCAGCAACCCCTCCACTGAGTACACACGATATAGCTATCAGCACTAAAGATATTATTTGAAAAAGTGCCACCTATATTTAGACAATATACATGTGATTACATTTTAACATTAACAAAAAAGAAAACAAATGAAGTTACCATTGAAGAAACCTAATATTAGTTTCTGAAAACGCTTCAACATCCTGCTTCAAATCAACACCACTCAGATTTATTAACGTTACAACTTTTTACTCAGGATGTGAAACTCCCGGGGAAAAGCAATTAATAGGCAAATCGAACTGCACAGGACAGTCTTCAAATTGCTCCCTTGAAATATATCAGTTATAAAAATAACCATTGTTTCGAATAGGGGTCGAGGCTTCCAGGATCTCGTGGGTATGATGCTCTTCTACTTTTCTTGTTGTTGTTATTATTATGGCAGGGGAAATCTTGCATGGGTTCCATCACTTTTTGTCCCATGTTTTCCCTTAAGTAGTCCACGTAGCTTGCATTTTGAATGTAGTCAGGGTTCTCAAACTCGCGGTCCACGGGCCATTTCTGAAGTGTCAAAGTGTCCTCTTTTTATAGCCATTTTCATTGTTTCTATAGATTAGTAGTTACTATCCTAGTGTCTCATTTGTATTTACTTAGTTTACATGTTTTAATAATTGTAAAGCGCTTAGAGCTTTATGATAAGCGCTATATAAAAATGCCTAAATAAATAAATAAATAAATATATAAAAACCAAAAATACAGATCTTTAATTAGATCTCCCTTCTCATTTCTTCAAAGGAAGTGTATGTGCATGTGTACGATGAATATGTAAAGTATGTCAATTTAAAAAAAGGATTTTCCAATTACCATAACACTCTCCAACCTGATCTGATATCCGACACACCTTCCCAGTTTCTCACACCGCTCGTCAGCCACCCTCTGGGCCACCGCCATTGCAGATATTCTACGTGGTTGGGTGCATACGATGTTGATGTTGCAGTTGGAATTTTGAAGAGCTTCGTCTAGAATGAACTGGGGGACTTGGGTGGTTTTACCACATCTGGTGAGGTCATCGATTGTTTCAATCATTAAAAACTGACTTCATCAGAATATATCAATGATTAAAAACTGACTTCATCAGATTATATTAATGATTAAAAACTGACTTCATCAGATTATATCAATGATTAAAAACTGACTTCATCAGATTATATTAATGTTTAAAAACTGACTTCATCAGATTATATCAATGATTAAAAACTGACTTCATCTGATTATTTCAATGATTTAAACTGACTGTGTCTGATTATTTCAATGATTAAAAACTGACTCCATGAAGTAGTTTAAAAGGTTTCGCACAAGAGCTGCCATTTCCTACTTGGTCACATATTTTAATAACTGAAAGGGGAAACAACAGGAAGTTCTTCTCATGAGAAAAGAAGCCGGCATCATGTGCAGGCCATGCAATCCTGTGATAAGGAAGGCCATCTGAAAACTGAAACCTGTTTACAGGGATCTAGGTATTCATTCTTTCAGGATTGTGCAGCAGATAAAACTATGCAACTTTCAACTGCAACTATTTGTTACTGTTTGATGGAGCTATTCAAAAAGCTATTCAATTTTGTTAGTTTTGAAAACATTGTAACGCCAGGATTCTAACAGATTGTGAAGCTGATATATGAATGCCAATTATTGTATAAAGCCACATATCAGTGACGACACAATAAAAATATCACATTGTGTTTTTAAAAAACACCGCTAACTCATTTGTGCTCAATGTGTTTCATATTGTTGATCTCACCTGGCATATAAAAAAATCCCTCTTTAAAGTCAAGGTGAATACTGAAGAAAAAATTGCCTCTTAAAAAAAAAGTAAATAAAAAATCTGGCCAAATTTTAAGTGCACAAATAATTATAAAAATTTATACAATTTTATTCTTTACTTAAAATGACTTTTAAAAAAAAAAAGTCTGCCACTAGGTGACCTGCTCCAAAATGTTAACAGCCAAATAGTAGAATATGAATGCCACACTGGCTGACACACAAAATGTTAACAGCAAAAGAGTAGAATATGAATGCCACACTGGCTGACACACAAAATGTTAACAGCAAAAGAGTAGAACATGAATGCCACACTGGCTGACACACAAAATGTTAACAGCAAAAGAGTAGAACATGAATGCCACACTGGCTGACACACAAAATGTTAACAGCAAAAGAGTAGAATATGAATGCCACACTGGCCGACACACAAAGGTTATATAGTATCGCACGCATGACCCAATCAAGAGAAAGTATTGGCTCTTGATAACAAATAACGTCTCCGTCCTCGTCCTACCCCGGGCCATCAGATGCTGTAAACCAAGCAGTTGACTCACCCTGTCATTCCACTGATAACCACAACTTGATTATGTTCAATCAGTGTCAGCAGTTCTTCTCTCATGTCCCATGCTGGCAATCTACGACGATCCGACTGCATACTTTGGTAATGTTTTGAGCTCTGGAAAATGTATCATTTTAAATGTCAAGGTCACCCTAAGGAATTCTACAAACTATTTGTAAAATTGTATCATCAAAACTAGTAAAGCATCAAAACTAGTTCACCATCAAAACTAGTGTATCATCAAAACTAGTATAGCATCAGAACTAGAATAACATCTAAAGTGTTTATTTTCTACTAGATAAGTATCAAATTCAAGCATCATTTAAATGAGACTAATTAAAATCAACTTAAAAATGAATATGCTCTATTTTAAATTTTTCTAATTAATCCATTTTTTTTAATGTCATAGCATTTATCCCTTTAAAATCTACTTACAAATGAAGGGTAGATATTTTCACATTTTTATCAATTAAACCATTATTTTTATGTCATGGTAATTATCATGTCTTGGTCAATAGCAAAAACTTTAAGCAATTTTAAATTTAACTGAAATCCTGCATTAAATAATGTTTGACTTTATATTTAGTTAGAGTGAGCGTCTGACAGCATTAGAGTCCCTAATTGTTTAGCATGCCATTGCTTTTTTGTGCTTGTGATTGTGTTCTGAGATACAGTTTGGAATTGTTCTGCCATGACAATCAGTCTCAAGAACTATCTGCACATAAATCTAAGTCTAACGTTTTATATACTGAGTGAATTTCATCATTTACTTTATATACTGGTTGGATCATATAAGTTATATACTGGTTGATAATATCATTTATAAAATGGTTGGATCATATAATTTATACATAGGTTGGATATCATTTATAGAATGGTTGGATCATATCATTTACACAATGGTTGGATAATTACAAACTGGTTGGATCATATAATGTATACATAGGTTGGATATCATTTATATAATGGTTGGATGGTATCATTTACACACTGGTTGGATCATATTGAGGAGCAAGCTTGCAAAAGGTACTAAGTCCAACCAAACTTATTTTTCAGGAAAGTGAATTTTGTGTTACAACTTAACCAGCATTTTGAAGGTAGCTCTACAGTTTCTATTTAAAATAAATGCATTTAGAGCCTTCTGAACGTTAAGATGAGAGATTCAAAATGTGTATTTTTATCAATAGATTAAGAAAAGGGCACTAACTAATTTTTTTCAAAAAACGGACTTAGTACCATTTGCAACTGGGCTCTTATAAACTTGTTGAAAAAAATGTTAGCACCTACTTTCTTATGGAAAAACTCTTCCTGCAAAATTTTGTTTTGTCTTTTCATTTCGATCGGATTGACTCGGACAGGCGTCACATCTTTCCTCTTCTGTGGCACGAAAATGTGTGGCGCCTCCTCTTCTCTCTTGACATCTTGATTGCTGCCGTGCCGCGTCAGTGTGCTCTCCAACCCGTGAGAGTCTTTATTTTGGTCATTTGTTTTTAGACTGGTGTCTGGTAATAGGGATTTCGGGTTGATCACCTTGACTTTGCAGGTCTGGGACATGGAAACAGGTTTACTTAAGGCAAGCGGTGGTAATGATATCAGCAGTTCCAGCTGTTCAACGTCCTCTAAAGCACTGACAAGGGAGAAAAGACAGGGGAGAGAGTCCCGAGCAGCCTCTTTGGCCTGAGCCATCAAAAACTGTGTGATGTGAAGGCGGGAGTGAGGAGGTAACTCTTCTATCACAGATGAAAATGCCAGCAGAGGCGGTTCGTTTGGATATTTATTTCCTTTGGGGAACCTAATTTCTATACTGTATGGAGATTTCTTGTCCTCCTCTAAGGCTTTTAAATTTGCATAAATCGGATGAGATAATTTTCTTAACTCCCCTGAGGTATCCAATGGCATCGCATGAGAAAAACGACAGTTATCCTTAAACTTGCACGAACCTTTCAAATAGAACGGACACAGTTTTCTATCAATGCTCTTCTCAGATTTTTTACTAGCCGAAGGCACGGCTCTTTGGCTCAGGAGCTGGCTCAATTCAGGCAGCTCTAAATTAAGCACCCACAATGTGTTTGGGATTCTCTCCTCAAAGGCGACGTCATAGATTGATTCCAACGCCATCTTCTCCTCATCCCGTGCAGCAAAAATGGCTTGATCCAGCTCAGAATCATCGGTGGTCTCAGAGACACTGAGCGTGATGTTGAACAGATCATTTAGCAGGTACTCAAGTGCAGCACCGACATCCCCGTCACATATTAGCAGAGCCTCTTGACAGTGCTCTGTGCTAAAGCCACACCTGTAGAAATGGTAGAACAGAAAGAACTTGGAATTGTTTTTTAAGAATATACTTATTAAAAGAATATACTTATTAGGGACGAATCTCAAAGAACTTGAGCACAACAAGATTAAAAATATACATTAATTATACTAAGCCATCATGAAAGATTGCCACCGACGGTTACCATATAGCCAGCAAGACTGTATAGGAAAAGCTAAATGAGTAGTGCAGAGAAGCTACAAGTTAGTAAAGGGAAAGCAATATGAGTAGTGCAGGGAAGCTACAAGGGAGTAAAGAGAAAACAATATGAGTAGTGCAAAGAAGCTACAAGGGAGTAAAGAGAAAACAATATGAGTAGTGCAAAGAAGCTACAAGGGAGTAAAGAGAAAACAATATGAGTAGTGCAGAGAAGCTACAAGGGAGTAAAGAGAAAACAATATGAGTAGTGCAGAGAAGCTACAAGGGAGTAAAGAGAAAACAATATGAGTAGTGCAGAGAAGCTACAAGGGAGTGGCCCATTTTGTCAACAAGTGTACACGATTCAGCTCATGATCCCATGCTGCAGAGATATTTTCCAACCAGAAGCACGTTGGTTGCACCAGTGACATAATTTTTAAATAAAAATCAGCTACAGTCGCATGTGGACAGATATTTATCCGATTACTTTTTTTTCTTAATTTAAACTTTTTTTTAAGGCTGTCAAAGACATAGTTTTATCTTGCCTTTGAAGTTTTTTTACTGCAAATATGTTCTCCTGTGAGACAGCCTGGACCAGTCCCCCTTTATGCGGTTGGGAAGACCAATCAAATCTTTTAGCATCTTGCACTACAAGTGTGCGGTCTGACAGCCAGTATTCATTCTCAGCTCTCGTGTCAAGTTCATCATACTCTTCATCATAATCCTCTTCATCCACTTTTTCCTCATCACTGCAGCAAGAAAATTATCTTTATAATTATACATTTTTATAACACTCAACCAACGCCTTAACCAATGGCTATCCCCTTCAACCTCTTAACCAATGGCTATCCCCTTCAACCTCTTAACCAATGGGTATCCCCTTCAACCTCTTAACCAATGGCTATCCCCTTCAACCTCTTAACCAATGGCTATCCCCTTCAACCTCTTAACCAATGGCTATCCCCTTCAACCTCTTAACCAATGGCTATCCCCTTCAACCTCTTAACCAATGGCTATCTCCTTCAACCTCTTAACCAATGGCTATCCCCTTCAACCCCTTAACCAATGGCTATCCCCTTCAACCTCTTAACCAATGGCTATCCCCTTCAACCTCTTAACCAATGGCTATCTCCTTCAACCTCTTAACCAATGGCTATCTCCTTCAACCTCTTAACCAATGGCTATCCCCTTCAACCTCTTAACCAATGGCTATCCCCTTCAACCTCTTAACCAATGGCTATCTCCTTCAACCTCTTAACCAATGGCTATCTCCTTCAACCTCTTAACCAATGGCTATCTCCTTCAACCTCTTAACCAATGGCTATCCCCTTCCCGCACGGACAGTTATCTTTAAGGATCAATATGTTCTGATAACGGACACATAATAATTTCCTATAGCTTGGTGGCAGAGCCATTGCATGACTTTTAAAAGCCCCCGCCACTTTTCTGTTTTGTGCCCCTGCAATGCTCCGTATGCTAGTGACGGAACAACTGCTTCTAAACTGCTTGTTCTGTTTACATTATAAATCTCTAAAACTTCCTGACTAGTGTACACTTTTCCCTTTAATAAACTTTTGAACAAGTAAAATACTATAAGAACAAATTAGAATTTAATTTACTGAATAAAAATCTGTACATTCCTTTCTCAAATTTAAGAAGTCTCAACCTGTGGGTCACAACCCCTTTGGGGGTTGCACGACCCTTTCCCAGGGGTCGCCTAAGACCATCTGAAAATATATATCCTTACAGCTATGAAGTAGCAACGAAATAATTGTGTTGTGGGGGCCGCACGACACAAGAAACTGTATTAAAGAGTCGCGGCATTAGAAAGGTTGAGAACCACTGTCTTGAATAGTATTTCAACCAGGACAAAACTCCTCACCTGTATGTACCATAATCACCATCATCTTCACGTAGTGACTGTAGCGTTTTCCTCACCATATCCTGGTTATCTGTACTCATAAACAGACGCTGCATTTCCAGCTTGACTTTAGGGGCAGAGCCTCTCCCCCGACCTCTTGTGCTGCTTGTGCCGGTGAAACTATATCTGTGGTAGCAAATAACTTACTCAGATTAAAGATAGACAGAAAATTTGATCATTTGAAAAGAAATCTATAAAGCTTGTAATTAACCAAGAAACATCATTGAGTTGATGATAAATCTACTAAAATATGACAGTGTGACTTAAACATGATAGTCTGAATTAAATATGACAGTCTGACTTCAACATGCCGCCAGTCAGCCCATTTCTTAACCATTAAAATGTCTATACTTACGCTGAAGCTTGGGTTGTCCTCCGCCCTTCGTCTGGCAAAGGGTTGGAATACGGGTCATTGACGCAAGGGCCGTCAATGGAGTCATCGTAGTCGATACCACCTTTTCTAGAAGATGACCACCCGCCACCTTTCCCACCCCGCGAGCCTCTCTGTCCTCCCCTTCCTCTTCCTATCAAGATAATGCATGGCCATAGGAAACAAAAAATATCATGAATATTGCCATTGTCTATAACTGAATGCACTCGCATGCAGCTGTGTAACTAGTGTTGTTTATTCTATGCAGCTGTGTAACTAGAGTTGTTTATTCTATGCAGCTGTGTAACTAGAGTTGTTCCTTCTATGTGGTAACTCATGTTGTCATCCTAACCCTTCCTATGGTCCTGATCACAAAGAAAACTATTCTAACAACATTTTAAATCAGTGGTGGCCAATGAACCAATGCGACGTCATTTTAATTTTTATCTCACTTAACTTTTTAAAATCAATTTGTTTTGTCAATTGAATGCAGAAAAAATAGTGATTATTAGTGATAAATCAGGCATCTGCTGGCGGCAATATTGGCCAGCAGGTTGGCCACCTTTGCTTTAAATGGTGTGTAGAGGATCTAACCTCTTTCCTGCAGCTTGCTTTGTCAAGAGTGCCCAGGCAGTGGAGCGGCACAAATAGACAGAAAATGACCCCCGTTGGCTATCTGTCACGAGAAAGCAAGCTTTCTGTCAGACATCAATTTCCGATATCTGAACTCCTTTTTGGGTTGGAGAGGGGATAATTAATGACTTGCCAACACCCAACCAACTGGTAACTGTTTACTTGGAATTGAAGATTGTATCATTCACACTGATGTGTAACCCTCAAAATTGTTACCCTTTAAACACATGAAGTGACATTATGTGACAGTGAAACCAGAACTATAACTCTTTCTATGGAGTTGGTAATGATTCCTACTTACATATAAATAAAATAATTGAAATTAGAAATAAAGTAGCTTACCTCGTTCACCTCTCCCTACTCCTCTAGTAAACTTTCCTCCTCCTCTATTAGGCTTTCCTCTCCGCTTGATGACTTTCTCCATTGTTAATGGTTAAATCATGCTGAATTCAAACTTTATTATGTGCTTCTGAATCCCAAATAACATTCACTTAGTCTTCACAACAGTCTTACTGTGATAAGTAACTGGGAAATATTTTGGATATTAGTCAACTGATTTATCATTGCAATATGCCAGGGTTTCCCAACATGGGATGTCGTGCACATACCCCAAGGGGAGAGAGGTGGCATTTCAGGGGGTGCAAAGGAAATGTGATTTAAGAACAGAGGACCATTTGACTTTCAAATTATCATATAGATGTTTAAATATTTTTTTTCATTTCTTCGTTGACAAAATAGGTCGAAACTTGATCGCTTAAGTTCTACAGTTCTCTAAGTTATTCATTAAACAAAATTATATCCTTTTTTAATTGTTCAATGCATTTTTACTTTTTGTAGGGGATGCATACTAATACTAGTAAAATAAAATTTGTAATGGTGCAAGACTAGTATAAACATTTGTAGGGGTGCAAAACAACAGGTTGGGAAACCCTGCAATAGGCACATTTATGAAGTTAAGTTATCAATAAAATTGGTCATGAGTCATGGCAACCAATTTTGCTGCCATTTAAAAAACACAGGTTGCGGAAATTGACAATTAATAGTAATAGGCTAGAAATAACGAAGTGGTTATGCCCAGCGGACTGCGTATAACCCTGAGAGTTATACGCAGTCGGCAAGTCACGTGAGGTCTATATTCTTCCTGTGTTACAGTATCGATCGATAAAGGTGCATGGTCATCAGGGTGACTGGGTGGTCAAATGGTATAAACTGAGCAAACCACAAGTTAGTGTTTTTGAGTTCAATTCCAGCCAAAGGCCTGCCATGAATACGTGTTAGTTGTTACGTTTGTTCTCGATAATGAAGCAAAAACAGCTTATTGTTTTACTTTTGTTTTGGCTAAAAAATGTTAAAACATGATAAGAATTTTTAACTTGACCAATGTAATGTTAATAATGTTATTCTTATAATTTTCAAATATATGTTTGTGTTGTTAGCATATATTTTGTGTTGTTAACTAATTTTGTGGCAGATAAAATCATGTTTCTCTGGTACAGTAATAAATATAATCAGGGGTGGAGAGTAGCAGTAAAAAATAGCTGTAGGGGCGGGGGTTCTGTAGAGGGGGCACTTTAAGTAATACTTTCACACAGTTATAGTTTTGCATGGAAGCGGAAAACTGTTACATTTAGGTCACCAAAAAAAAAAAAAATCATAAATGATATAGTTTTTTTTTAAATAAATAGAATGTATTTCCTGAATTAGTCAGTAAAACCAAGCACATGGTCATAGCAACATATAAAAACCTAATCAATCAGAATACAGAACTAGAATTAGACCATGGAAATGCCTTTTACAAAAATCATCTTCTTAGGCTTAGACTCTAAGAAATGTAGACTTTGACTTAGACTTATAATTATAATAGAAACAAGCAATAATACTAATAATAGTACTAATACTAATACTATTACTATCATTCAATATTAATTAAAATTAATTCAATTAAAATTTTACGTTAAACACATTAAAAGTTGTAGTTCAAAACAATCCATAATGCAGCTAATTACGCATAATACTTTTTGGTAAATTGCCAAACTAGCGGTAATAAACCTTATTTGGCTAAATTCCCAGCCGACTGTGTATAACCCTGAGAGTTATACGCAGTCGGCTGGGAATAACTCTCAGGGTTATGCGCAGTCGACAGCGTATAACTCTCAGGGTTACACGCAGCCGACTGCGTATAACGCATCCATAGAAATAATCATTATAAAATTCATAACAAAATTTTGGAAATGAAGTTGAAGTGTAGTTAGTAGTATGACTATCATTCATGAAACATTGAATTAATTTAATTTTTAATGTATGGGATTGTGGCCATTTTAAAGTCAAAAATGACTAACTTACTAACAGTGAACAGTAATAACTCTGTAGTCATAGATACTAATTCTATTGTGTAGGTTTTAGTCTTGAAGTAAGTCTTACACTGTCACTTATTACTTAGTGAGTAATGTAAGTTAGTCTCAGACAAAAATAATCAAGTTACAATTTCAATTACAAGTAGTAAGTAGCAGTAGATCAGTAGAGTGTTGAGTGTCAACCCCGAGTCTACGTCATCTATTATAATTTAAGATCCCCTGATTATTTTAAATAAAGGTTTATCATAAAGCATGTAACGATCTAATCGAATCTAAATTATAACGATGCTATTAACATGGTCTTGATGACTTGATGACAGTGACTGCACGAACTACGAAGACTAAATTTTAACAAACTCAACTGTCTCCAGTCGTTCCATCCAATGACTCAAATTGCTTAGGCCTATAGTTCAGGGCTGCCACTCACATTTTTAAAATTTCCCAAGATTTGGTGAACAAATTTCCCAAGATTTCCCAAGATCATAAAAATATGTAAGAGTTTTTTTTAAAAAGGGTTTTTCTATGTAATTAATGTAATAATAGATTGAATTAATGCCCCTGGAAAAACATGGTACATTAATTGTTTGAAATTAATTGAAAAAGACATTTTAAAAAATGTTTATCACATAAAAGAAACATACAATTTGTTTTTTTAAAATAATGTATAATCCAAAATATCAATACCCACTGAAGTTAGGCTACTAAATATTACCTCCGAATTCTCTGGTAAAAATATCATCTACAATACATGTGTAATAGAAGTCACTTGGAAACAAAGCTTACAAGGCTAATCAACACAGAATTCCTTTTACAAGGGCAAAAGGTTCTAATGTGTAATAGAAGTCACTTGGAAACAAAGCTTACAAGGCTAATCAACACAGAATTCCTTTTACAAGGGCAAAAGGTTCTTCATCAAAAAATGATTTTTCTTATTGTAAGTCTGTTGATTAGAAGTGGGGTTTGCAAAGCAATGAAGCAAAATTTATTAATTATAATTGTAGTTAAAATGGATTGATATTATTATGAAAACAATAAGTATTTTTATTTTTTTCTTGTAAATTTATATCATAACGATTTTTTCAACAAAATAACATACTTTTAAATGTATGGTTCATTTATAATCCTACAACGTAGGCCTATACTTTTAATGGCTTAGTTACCTGTGTTTCAATCCACAAATATTTTTTTCCAATTGATGAAAATTAGGCTGGATTTTTTACAGATGCATTATATTTTGAATACATTGTATGAGTAATTGAAATAATCAAATTTTACTATGGCATGGATCCTTGATTGAACACTACTATCGTTCACTCTTCGGCTTATACTGTTTTTCGTATGGTTGCTAATGTCTAATAAATAGCCTAATGATAAAGTTTCCGAGCCTCCCCCCCCCCTCTTTAATAAACAGTCAAAACCTGGATGTAATTTGTAAATCTTCATTTTTTTTAAAAAATAGAAGAGAAAATTGAATTTTTCTTTAATTATTAACTTTGTAACGATTCGCAATAATAATAACTTTAATATCAGGAGAGTTTTTATTTATTTGATGAGTGGATTTAAAATTTAAACCAGAATTTAATTTTCTTTAAATTAAAACAATTAATTTTTTGCTTTTGTTACTTTAAAAATTATTTTGCTTTATTTTCACTTTATTTTTTATCACATATTGTTGCGTTTTTTTCGAAAAATATAATAAAATTTTCCCACCAGTTAAGATTTCCCAAGGTTTTGCCTGATTTTCAAAATTATTCCCCAGATCCCAAGGGGGGTCGTGAATTCCCAAGATCTTGGGAAATCTCCCAAGGTGTGGTAGCCCTGCTATAGGTTACTAGTAAACAACAGTACAAAATCGGCTCCTTTAAAAAGAAAAATCGCATTTTAATAAATATATATATAAAATCTCATTTTAAGAAATAAGTAGTATTCGCTTCATTATGCTACACCTAGCTCAGGTCTCAAATAAAAACAAAAAATAAATTTTATCACGTATGTTGAAACAGCAAATAAATGACGTTACAAAAATTTTTTATAAAAAATCCTTTGATGTCAAGGAACTTTTAATTTCCGCAGCCATGGAAACACATCCATTTTCAAAACATTTTGACTTTAAAGTTTATGTTGTCAAAATGTTGAGTGGTTGCCCTAGT